CCATTACAATAGCATCTGGTAAGACATGAAAAGTCCCCTCTTATTTTAGGGATCTTTAAAGGGGTTATGAGAACTGCAAAGAAATCTCAAGGTTTCCCTCCTAGACCATTCCGGAAACTAGCAACAGCTCTTCCCAACTGACTCCTGTATAGGACTCCCCAAAGCAGCTTAACAATAGAAGGCTATTAACCAAACATCCTCCCTACCTTCAACACTATCATCTTGCACTCAAGTGTGCAATGAGAAAACTTTAACAGACTGCAAGAAGTTAAACACTAGAATACGCTGAAAGCGTGACTGGCCAACCAGCCTCTGCAGCATGGTCTCTGAGAGCGGACACTGACAAGTGCCCTCCAGTCGCAGTGCACACGCTCCGCAGACTTTAGTAGGGAGACTACAGAACACGGGTTAGAAAAAAAAAAGGCGGGTGGCGGAAAAGGGAGAGAACTGAAGCCACAAATTCAATCCTCTGTCCACTGCCCTACCCACCGTCGACAATCAGGGTGATGTCAGTAAACCGGTCCTGCTCTCGCTGCTCATTCAATCGGTCTAGGATCATTTTATGATGTTCAGGGAACTCCTGAAGGCATTCCATCGTCTCTTCAGCCTCCATGGCCGTCTGGTTGCTCTACAAAAGAGGAGCATGATAATGTACACCCATGAGCTCGGGTTGAGGAACAAAACCTCTAAAGCACAAAACAACAAAACCAAAACCCCAGCAACGTGAAAAGAAGGGAGGGGGGAGGGTGAGGCAAGAGGAGAGGAAGGCGAGGGAAGAAAGAAAGGCGAGCCGAGTAGCCGCCGCGCGGCCGCCGCGCGTTGGGGGCCGGAGCCGCGGCCGCGGGACTCCGAGCCTGACCTAATTGGAGTCGGGAGACGCGAGCTGGAGCGGGGTGGGCACAGCGCCGGAGGCTCCGGGCGCCAGGGCGCGCGAGTCCGTCAAGGGAGGGGACCCGATAGCCGTGGGGGCTCTCCAACGGCCCGCCAAGCCCTTCCGCCCGGCCCGGGCTCCCGCCGCCCCGGGACCCGGTCCGGCCCGCGGCCCACAACGACTCCGGGATCGCCTCTCCCTCCCCCGCCCTCCCTCTTCCCCCCCGCCCCAACCGGGCCGGCACTCACTCAAGGAAGGAGGAGCAGCCCGGGCCTGCGCGTTACTTACGTCGACGTACTGCGTCACCGCGTTGGGCTCCGACTGACGCGAACGCCTTCCGAGCGCTGACTAGGAGAGGCGGGCCACGCCCCCACCCGCCCCACTCAGAGGATGGGCGGAGCAACTAAAGGGATTTAGTGCTGGTTGAGAGCGAGGCCGCGCGCCTCAGAGAAGATCCGGATGTGATGGGTTGGGTTCCTACAGAGCCTGGCCTTGCCCGGAGCGGGGAATCGAAATCGCCTCCCTTCCACCTCCCACCCTCCGGTGCTTGATTTCAGGTGCGGCCGCTTCCGGCCTGCGCTGAGAATAAAGTCGCTAACCGTGCTGATACTCCGCGGCTCCTCCAGCCAGTCCCCATGCCGCCCACTTTGCATCCAAGACGTGGGTCGGCCTTCCTTCCTCTCTGTTCCTCAAGTCTTCCGTGCTCTCTCCTCCCTGGGCACAATTCTCCCCACACCTTCCTCTATCCCTAAGCCGCGTCTTGCCCTCCATTTTCCCCGCGAGAGCCGGGCGCTCCTTCCGCTCGGCTCCAGCTGGCGCACGTGCGTTGGCTCGGACGCCTCAGCAGCCGCTCGGGCACGAGCACGTTCGGGCCGCAGGGATCTTCCTCCCCCCCCGAGCCCGCCCTCGCGGCTCCTGGCCTTCGGCGTGTGTTTGCTGCGCCCAGGATCGGCATCTGCTCGGAATTATTTACACGAGATGCCCTCTCCTTTAAAGAGGCCAGTGACCTGTAATCACCTGCACGGGACTGGTTCATTCCTTCATTCTTCCAGAGAAAGGCTTTTTGAAGATGATTAAGTAGTCATGATGTATTTTTTGTCAAAGACCTTGAGAATGGGGATTTAGAGTAGCTATATGCAAGCGTGAAAGTAAGCGGATTGAGAGTCAAGGCTGTGCTAGGCACACCGTTCAAGAGACAAGGAGGGAATCTGTCACTGAACATCACGGTACTTGTGGTTTCTGCTTTCTGAGTCTTAGCCTGCTAGAGTAGCTATTTTGAACAGTAAATGCCTAGGTGCTGACTGCTGAATGTTATGACATGGGAAGAACAAAATAATCTGGGGGTCAAGGAAAGCCAGTGACCTATAAGAAGTGATAATGAAGTCTAAGTGTTCTTAAGCGAGAGTACAGCACATGCAGAGGCACCAAGATTATAGCATTCCAGGAATTGAAAGAATGTTGCTGGGACAGACCCACGGGGCTTGTAAACTGTTAAAGATGTTAGATTTTCTTACACTAGCAAGGGGAAGGCTTCAAGGTCTGTCTAGCGGGGTAGTGATATAAGATTTCCTTTTTTTTTTTTTTTTTTTTTTGCAGATTTATGTGTCAAAATTTACTTTCTCTGTTTTTTTCTTTTTAGTTTGAGACATGGTCTCTATCGCTCTTGGTGGAGTGCTGTGGTGTCACATCTCATAGTAACCTCCATCCAACTCTTGGGCTTAAGTGATTCTCTTGCCTCAGCCTTCCAAGTAGCTGGGACTACAGGCTCCCGCCACACCACCGGACTAATTTTTTCGTTGCAGTTGTCATTGTTGTTTTAGCTGGCCCAGCCTGGGTTCGAATCACCAGCCTTGGTGTATGTGGCTGACGCCCTACCCACTGAGCTATGGGCGCAGCCCCGGGCTATTTTTAGAAACTGGTTCTCTTTTTTGCTCAGGCTGATTACAAACTCCTGAGCTCAAGCAATCCACCCGCCTCAGCCTCCCAGAATGCTAGGATTACAGGCATAAGCCAGTAGGCCACATCCTGAGATTTATTTTTTATTTGTTTTTTTGCTCTTTTTGGCCGGGGCTGGGTTTGAACCTGCCACCTCCAGCATATGGGGCCTGCACCCTACTCCTTTGAGCCACAGGTACTGCCCCGTAACATTTATTTTTTAAAGAGATAATTCTAGGTCAGGTGCTGTGGCTCCCACCTGTGATTCCCAGCACTTTGAGAGTCCAGGGGTTCCAGATTACAGTGAGCTATGATGGTGCTGCTGCATTCCAGCCTCCTTGACAGAGCGAAACTGTCTCTAAATAAATAGAATCTACAGGGGTGATAGACTAGAAGCTTGTATTACATTGGATCTACTGGTATTTTTAAATATTGTCATCATCATTATTCACATAGCATTTTATTTTTTTTGGCCGGGGCTGGGTTTGAACCCTCCACTGCTGGCATATGGGGCCAGCGCCCTACTCCTTTGAGCCACAGGCACCATAGGATTTTTTTAAAGATTAAATTGTACATAAAAATAGGCACTTTGGAAATTTTAGAGCAGGGATCCTCAAACTTTTAAATAGGGGGCCAGTTTACTGTCCTTCAGACCGTTGGAGGTCGGACTGTGGGCCCTGGGTTGAGTCAGCTGCTAAGCAGGACAGTCAGCAGTGGCAAAAACACCTGGCGGGCCAGATAAATGTCTTGGGCAGGCTGCATGTAGCCTGTGGGGCTGTAGTTTGAGGATGCCTGTTTTAGAGTATAGTTCCTTTTTCCTTTACAACAATTGGATTGAACCAAATGGAGAACACATCTCTGTGTAGGATTTGAGCTATCCACTTTACCACAGTCCCTTTCACTCAGGGGTAGGGAACCTGCGTCCTTGGAGCCACATGTGGTCATCTGGATTCTTGAGTGTGGCCATTTGACTGAAACCAAATTTTATAGAAGAAATCCTCTTAAAGTCCTGGACTTCATCTCTTAGCATAGTGATTCTCAACCTTCCTAATGCCACCACCTTTTAAAACAGTTCCTCATGTTGTGGTGACCCCCAACATGGTGGTGGTGACCCCCATTGCTACTTCATAACTGTAATTTTGCTAGTTATGAATTGTAATATAAATATCTGATATGCAGGATGTATTTTCATTGATCACGACCCACAGGTTGAGAACCACTGTCTTAGAAGAATCAGTGTTTATGGATTGAGTTAAAGAAAAAATAAAGCCTAAAAGGACCAAGTATTGCAGCTGGAAAGAGACGGAAAACCAGAAGACTGTGACATCAAGAAGTCCATGAAAAAAGAGTGTTTCAAAAGAGATGGTGTGGTCACCAATGCCAGATGCTGCCAAGTGATCATGTTTAACAAAAATTGTGAAAATGTGACTTGGTACATTTAGCATCTTGGTTGTCTTTGGTGGAAGACCTTAGCAAAAGCAGATGTAGTGAAGTTCTGAGGACTACTCGGGGGTAGGGGGAGATAAGATGTCTATATTCAAATAGGTTGAGGAGTAATTGGGGAAAGAAATTGAAATGGCAATTGTAGAACTCTCATTTAAGAATGAGGGAGGAGAGAAAGGTATACCTGTAGAAGGTGGGGGGGGGTCAAGTCCATTTTAAGTGTGTGTTTTGGATGAGAGAGTATTAGGTAATTTAAGTTTGGATAGAGAAGGAGCCAGCAAAGGAGCGGATAGAAACACAAGATAAAAAGGGGCTAATTGTACAAGAAAGGGCTTAATGGAGCAGATGTTCACAGGAGTATAGTAGTTTTGCTTTCAAGAAATTGAGGAAATTCCTATCAAACTGGAGACCTTTATTTTCTCCATGAAATAGGTGGCTAGGTCATTAAAAGTCAGGATAGGCTCAG